TATAATGAACTATCTATCATATTATCGGACACCTACCGAAAATTAAAGGTAAGCTTTTAACAGCAAGCCGGAGAGTAAGCTGTCGATGTTGTTATGGAAAGTAATCGACACGGTTCATATCTCTCTTTAGATCAGTACTACTTTTATATATTTATTAAATAATGGCAAGATTATAAAACTGTATTGATACACGTAATACAAAATGACGAATGCAAATATGCAAACGACGAAGATCTGTACATATACATTAACTGTAAGGATAAAGAGGTCAGATTGTGGGCGAAACGTCCTGTCAGGGGGGTAGAAATAGCCTAAGCTGCTCTATCCCTTTGAGATGTATTTTTTCTTGTCTCAATAAACATACTTGAACTTGAACGTCCTGTCAGCAAATCACAAACATACAACGCCCGCGTGAAATAATTGTTTAAGATCAATGATCAATTAAGATCAATTCACTATATCTAAAAGTTACAGATGTTTAGGTATACGGGAATGATCTTGCAAATACGTCTTTGCTTCTACAAAAAGTGACATGAAATGTATAAGATAAAACAATGTAATGGTTAGGCTAAACTAAGTGATGTGAGATAGACTAGGCTATTTAACCTAGTCTAAATATTTAGACTAGGCAAGAGCAGGCCTAATGATAAGTCTAAAATTACATAATGATGAGATTAGGTAATTTTAGGATTGGTTGTCAAGTCAAACATGTACAACTGTAAGTAGATAATTAATTCATTGCTTAGTGAAAAAGTGACAAAATTTAAGTATTATTTATTTTGATATTTCTCGTTGAAAAAATGTTTTCAGCGAGAAAATACCAGGTTACTACTATAAAATGGTAAACTACTATAAAATTATAAAGTTGTAATGACTTTCGAACCTGTAGATCTTGCATAATTTGTCGTGAATTTCTTTATCTATTGCTAACGTATACGATATCCAATCTATTAAAACATTATGGATATTACTAATATATGGAGGAGCCATTTAACCTACATAATCCAATTCTATATCTATAAAACAGAACGTCTGTCTGCCAGGGTTGAATGTCAGACGCTTGGGACTAGCTCATCCAACTTTGAAAGATGACAACTGGGTGGTAGAGGATTGTCAGAGATGGATTGAGGTCGGCCCAATTGCCCACGCTATAAAGAGTCGGCTCTATTTGCGACTCGCAAAATACTGGGCATTTTTCGTAGAATTTTTTTTTTTAGCAGAGAAAGAATTACAGAAACAGATACACAGAAAGACAGAGATCCGGACACAGCCGGATACCCATACTAGTAAATCATATGCTAGTTACTATGGGATGCAGGTATACACTAAAAAATATCTATGCCTAGTTTAGTACAACTTAGTAGCTGTAATCTACTTATCTAGCGTTACTTTACCTACTGTATCCCCCCCTTAGTTTCACAAGCAGTTATTTCAAAGCCAATCCATATTTTGTTTGAAAAGCAGCCTAAAATAATTGCTGCAAATAAATTTTCAGGTAAGATAGGGTTATGATGTTTTTTTTAATATATCCTAAAAGCAAACAAAATTAAATTAACTTTTGCTTCTTAATTACCATGGAGGAATCCTTAAGAAATTATCACAAGAAGGCACCAAGCCTGGGAGACTGTAGCACCATCAGTGTTGCTGGATTTTCAAACAGTGCTAAATATCACTGAGGATGCTAATATGTGATATGAGAACAAAAACACACACAAGGCGAGATATCAAAGGTATCAGATTCACCAAGGATTTTGTTGATTGAGAGACATTAGGAAATTACCTAATTTCCTTTTAATTTACGACAGACCGAAACGTCGTCGTTCCTTCACTTTCTAGTGTGTGGTTTGGTTAACATATTTCAGCCACGTTATTGTGACTTCTCGTCTGCACATTAGGAAAGTAAGACATACGATCGTCCTGAAAATCGGGACATTCCACAAGAAGGTGCACGACAGTACGTGTGACAATACAATTTGGACAGTAAGGAACAGGGCGCCATTCCATTAAATGTCCATGAGTTAAGCGTATATGACCAATACGTAGCCTAGCCAAAGCCATTTCCCAGCATCTATTACAGTGGTAGGAGGAAGGCCAAGGAGATATGTTACTTTTAAGGATGTGCAGTTTGTTACCTCTAACCTCAGACCAGTGATCCCCTGCCAGCGGTCTTGGATTGAGGTATGAATGATTGGGTAGAAATCTGAACAAGGAATGCCTATTTCTTGGCACTAGGACAAGTGTGGAGAGCCTCCTTAGCGGCACTGTCCGCACGTTCATATAAGGTAATACTAATAGGGTTGGGAACCCAGCTAAACTCATCTGAAAAGAAATAGCCAATGTTGAATTTCGAATACCACAGGATGCATTGGGGAAGAGAATTATCAGAAGAAAGCGCTAAACCATTACGACTATATAGCACTGGGAAGGGGTCAGGATAAGAATTTCAGAGGGAACGAGGGGGGGGGGGGAGGAATGGTGCCCAACCACTTGGACGGTCGGGGGATTGAACACCGACCTGCATGAAGCGAGACCGTCGCTCTACCGTCCAGCCCAAGTGGTTGGATAGGATGCATTGGGTTAAATGACTCCAGGGCCAAGAGTAGTCTCTCCTGCCTTTCTCCACTCCTCCCCTCTCTCATCTCTCTCTCTTACCTTATCCTTTATCCCTTGCCATTTCCAACCTCCCTCATCTGCAACATTCCTCCCTCTTCTCTCCCCCCTCTCTTCCCCCCCCTCTCTATCCTTCCTTCGCTTCAAATATTCCACCTTATTTTTCACTCTATTCAAACATCCCTCTTATTCCCCTTCTCCTTCCTTCACTCCCTATCTCTGTCTGTCTCTGTCTTTCTCTTTGGACAGTCAAAACTGCCCCACAGCCAGTGTGGGGCAGTTTTGGTTGGGTCTTGGCTAGACTCGCGATGTCATTTTCATTCCGTTTTTCTGCTTCTCTCCTCACTCTGAGGTACTCATTCCTGGCCCCTCTGGTATCTGTCCCTGCTCTCTGGTGTTCTGTTTTTCCTGTAGTTTCTCCACGTTCTTGTACTTAATTGCTTCGCTACCTTACATTCCTGAATGAACTATGGTGAGTGTGTGTGTGTTACATCATAAGAATATAGTTAGTGAGAAAAAAATTATCCTTATTATATTAAATGTAATAAGGATAACTTTTGCAAGTGAAAAAATGTGTTCTTGATGATTCTGTAAATTGGTAATTCCACAAACAAGATTCCTGAAAAGTTCACCAAGCCCCTCGACTCCCACAACAGGCGCCTCTTAATAAAAATGAGATGCAGTCCGAAAAGGTCAAGTGTGGTCAAGAAATGTCACACTGTTGAATGTTTACACCGGGACAGTTTCATGGGGGGAAGTGTCGCCAGGTTGATTAGATGATGACAAATGTATATTGCGGTCAAATGTCAACACTCTTCGTGGTGAGAATCAACATACAAGAATAAAAACTGTGCATTTATAACAAAACTATCGTAAACAAATAATTCAACGAAACCTATGTATTTGAGAAAGAGTAGAAAAAGAAGGGAGAAGAGGAGTGCAGAGTCAATTTTGCTCTTATAAAAGGTCAATAATGCGCACACAGGCCTTTGTTGACGCATGTCGTATTGCAAAGATTTTCAAGCACAGGAACCTGCCTGTACTCACCTAATTGTGCTTGCGGGGGTTGAGCTCTGGCTCTTTGGTCCCGCCTCTCAACCGTAAATCAACAGATGTACAGGTTCCTGAGCATCCTGTGTGATCCATCATAACAAAACGTGTAAATAGCTGCTTTCCCAGTGAAACTCACTATATGCGCATAACTTATATGATGTAATAATATTGGAAACGCTCATTCCATACACCAAGTATCATACCAAGCAAAATAAATTTCCTGCTACTACAAAATGAATGAATGAATCATATGAAATATGTCATATTCACATGACATATTTCACTGTCATGAACAGCATATCTGTTCATTCCTCCTTGTATTAATCTTATCTCTTTTAAACTTTACAAGTTAAAATCAGCGGCAGGGAAAGTGTTAAGGGATCCATTGTTTCTTTAGGATACTTTAGGATTCTTTAGGTTTCTGGTTGCTTTAGGTTACTTTACGATTCTTTAGGTTTCTGGGATACCTGTTTAGCAGGTATCCCAAGACTTCATTTGCCTAGAACTCGCCAGCAACTCATCCTGTGAGCACAAAAAAATTTCAACTCAAAGAACGTCTTTATAATACGCTCGTGGGTGATAATTATATCAATGGATATTACAGATTGTCAATTACAACGATTAGTTTATATAATAGTTCATTTACCTACTTGATAATAAAAAATGTGGATTCGATGTAAAGACTAACAAATATAGCAATGAAACGTTTCTTGCCCTTTGTTTAGACCTATTGCTAAAAGCTTCCATTTGAGCACATCTAAGGTAGTGCTCTATTCTTCTTTATCACAATCGACTTGAGAATGGTCCAGGACGGACCGAAACGTCGTCGTCCCTTCGCCTTCTAGTGTGGTCTGGTCAACATAGTGCTCTATTATGTACCCTTTGTGTGTATGTCCACTCATTGCATTTCCTATTACAGAGATGACCATATAAACTGAATTGCCAAGATACTTGTAGTCTAATTTTGGTCAAGCAGTGACATCTTTTAGTCAACTGATTTTGTACCAGTTTCACATGACATATTTCACTGTCATGAACAGCATATCTGTTTATTCCTCCTTGTATTAATCTTATCTCTTTTTAACTTTAAGGTTCTTTTCGAAGATTTCTTTAAGCTTGTTTGACAACTCTAAAGCATTTTTAGCCTAGTTTCTACTCAGTACACAGATAATGCCACTTTGAGTAATTAAGCTGTCTCTAAAATATATACTTGCGTTGAAAAACAATAACACGTTCATAGGTATGATGATCACATATTAATAAACTGCACTGAAGTGTCTTTATCACTTTCTGATTATATTTGTCAGTCAGATACTAATTAGCAATATATTTTTCAGGACGTCCACGGTTTGATTTCTACCGAGTACGAGCGACGGACCCTCGGCCATGCCACATCTGTGGTAAGATATACAAAAACGCTCACACCCTGCGCACACACATGGAAGACAAGCATTCCAACTGCAATGGATTCCGGTGCGTACTGTGTGGCACTGTGGCCAAGTCGCGCAACTCCCTCCACTCACACATGAGTCGCCAGCATCGCGGGGTCAGTACCAAAGACCTTCCCCTCCTGCCTATGCCGGCTCCATGGGATCCAGAAATGGCTGCAAAGTACATCCAAATCGTAGGTGGTGTGGGTGAAGTTGTCAGACAGAATTACCGCCGCCCAGACAGGGATAGCAACAACTCTGGCAGCGACAACGGGTCTTCGACATCAACGTCACGAGATCGAGAAGCCGACAACACCCCAACCTCCCAGGAGAATGGTGGCCTGTACCTTAAATCCGATCCTGGGGGCCGGGATGGAGAAGATGGGATGAAGGAGAGGAGGCCGTATGATGTCATCAGCCGTCACCTGGATATGTACACAGGAGCGAAACCTCCAGGGGCCTCACTTCTCGACACATACTTACAGATGATGCGTGCCTCTGGGATGGACCTGTCAACGCCCTTGGCAGATAGCATGCTGGATGAGAGGAAGATGCTTCATTCTCGGCCTATAGGTGGCGGCGTACTAGACCTGACCCGGCCTGACTTGATACGAAGTAGCACTTCCCCACGCGACGAAGATAATGGTGGCCCCGCATCAGATGACTTTAGCGACGATGAGTTTAGTAGTATGCATACAGATGGTCGGGGAGCGCGGAAGCTGAGCGGAGGAGCCACTGTAGTGACTGTCACGCCTCGCTCCCCAGAGCCCTCTGACCCCGAGGATGATGCGAAGTGGGCAGTGCAGTAGTGATCCACCACATTCCGCCGTGCAGCGTCACACAGCAATCACAGCCGTGGTACAAATTACACAGTGGATGCAACAGACTAGATATATGGGCCAGTGTGACTCAGTGCCTGTGTTGGGCCCGCCGCTGTCGCCAGTGAACCGTCCTCAACCATGCCCAACTATTTTTGCCATCTGTCCCATAATCATACCCTCAACTCTACCTCTCAAGGATATATTTATTTTCATCATTTAAATACAGAAGTAAACAAAACAAAATTAGTTGAAGCTGTTACTCGACCACTTCAACGTTAGCAGTGTTTTGTGATATTTAATGACCGACTGGTCTTCCCCTGTCATCTATACCTAAGCAGCAGGAGCTGTAAGGCTGCCTCCGGGCATGGTTGAGAGCGGCACACGTCTTCAGCAGTTGTCAGTTCTCAGGGACTCGTCGGGCTTCACTCCTTCCTGTAAATACTCTTCTCACTCAGGCCGGTGGTGATGCAGGTGAGCGTCCTTCCACCAGGCCCCTGGCTCACACGCCCACACGTGTGCACACACAATGCACCAGGATTATGTGCACGTAACAGACTTATGCAGCCGCCTCTATGTTATGGTTAACTAGTTGGTGCCCTCTTTTCGGTGCTGTTATTTTGGATTAAGATTTTTAACGAGGAAGCTTGATGTAAAATGAAGTTATGTTAACTCATGCTCTCTAAGCTGGCAGATAATGGCTCTGTTAATACCAGCGCAAATGCATCAGTAATTTCTCGCAAATCATTTAAAAACTATTGCACCAACGGGCGCCCAGTGTTGCCATATCACTAACACTTTCCATGGCGGCATCATCTCGCCTAGTTTAAGTAACTGCCTGAGAAACAGTATCTCAGGTTAAATTCACTGGTGCATATTGTAGCTCCATTCGGCATCATCTCAGCATTCCTTTAGCAGCAGTTTCAGTTATATTTTTAGGCTTGTACACAGAGATGGACCCATGACCTTATGCCCATAGTTTGTGATGTGATCATGGATTTTAAGCCTTCTGTAGTTTCCTGATCAGTAACTCCTCTCTAGAAGAAAAAGGATATGATTGTGGAGACACTCACTACACAACGCTAAAAATCACTGTTCTCATCAATTTAAACATGTGTTGTCCTTGACTATTAACTTCTACTCATACTACTACTACTACTACAAATTTGATTTGTTTTGGTTTGTGTCTGTGAATTCTCCGTCCAGCCAGGGTAAAGTCCCCACCTGTACAGACGGCTTGAGTCAGGTCTCTGCTCAGTACAAAGTTGTCAGTGGCTGAGGCCCAAGCTGCCCGTCTTGATCTCAGTGTAAATAACCGCCACAAAACAGGCAAATGAGTCCCTCTCCTCACCCTCTATATATTACAGATAGTCAGGTAGTATTTCAGGTATCAGATCCCATATTGTTATTTTTGTAATGTGTTTACACAAGGTTCTCAGCCATTCCAGTCGTATGGTAAACTGCTCTGTCCAAGTCATGTCAGCATTTTAAGTGCAACTAGTCAAGGATTCAGTAACAGAAAACACAATTGGTGTGCTTTTAGGATGCACTTCCACTATGCTTAGCAGGTACATTAAATAAGCGATAAACTGTATATTAACCTATAGAGATATATAACACATGGCCTGCGTGGCAGTAGAAAATGTAGTGTCTACCTCATAGTTTAGCGGGTATTTGTGGTGATGCACGCGTGGGTGTTATCCACTATGGTCCCTGGACGTTATGCTCGTGCTCTCACGGGCACCCAGCTGGCATCCCGGGGGACCTGATGTGGTGAAACTTGGGGCGGAGATAGGTACTGGCACGCCTGCTAACACTATACACCAGAGATCAGTGTGGGAAGATGTGAGGCGTATGGTGATGGTGGGCGTGACAGTGGTGGTACCCGCGTGGTGGTGTGTTGCTGCCCCCCGCACAGTGTGTCCTCAGTGTTGGGTAGTGTAGTGTAGACTATAGCCATATTGTTAACGTAGGTAAGGCACCGGTAGTTGTTGTTGCAGCAGCGGTGGTGATGATGCGGTCCGAATTACTGACACAACCGTGATGTGATGGGTGATAAGGTATGTGTACCATGTGCACCGTGGTTAAACACACCTGCAAAGGCCGCCTATATACTCGCACACCGATGCACACGCCCATCACTGCATGCCCTCGGATCTAAGAGTAGGTTCCAGAGCAATGTAATTGAGTCAGCCCAAGACAATACTTTTATCTAGTTTTCTGTCCATTCAAGATGATGTCCGAGAGTTAAACCCCCATAAATAGCTAGACTACTATGGTGCTCTAACAGGAAGACCTAGATGTCAAAGAGAGAAGGGCCAGAGTTGTACATTATTTGCTAGACAGCATCTATGCAAGAAGCAGAGATGGCAACAGTAGGCGGTGGTGTGTCCAGGGTGGTGCCTTGGCAGCGAGTCAGGCCGAGCCAGGTCAAGATGAAATCATGACCAACCTGCTATGTTCTCAGCAATTCCAGAGACCCAACCCGCACCCAGCCTCAACCCCGAACCAATAGCCTTTTCCTCAATCCATATAGCCTCATACGCCAATATCCCCCAACCCATAATCCTGCAAGCCAACTGATATACACCATAACGCCCCAATTCCCCATCCTGGGTGATGGGGGATGGGCGCTCCAACCCAACAGTATTTACCGCCAAGGAGTATTGACCCCAACTTATAACTTAACAGTGAGCCATGCAACCACGTCTTTCCATAGAAGTATTACTAGCCGTGTAGACCATATATGAGGCTGGGGCGCGCTGGGTTGGCCGTGATGGTGCTGGAATAGGTTAGTGTTCTCCGTGAGATGCTCTTGAGTAGGGATGATCAAGGTGGCGACCATACAACAAGACAACATTTGTGTCTCTAACCTATAGAAAATGACATAGAAAGTAAGTTTACATTAATGGTTCTATATAAGGTTATCCTAGGGCTACTTATCTTCTAGGATGGTACTGGCATGCTTAGAGCCAAGGTTTGGTTTGATAGAGCGGTAATAGTGTCAGCTCTGCACAGTTCAATGGTGAATGAACACTACGATGTTAAGCAAGAGAATGGTGTCATGGATCATCTTTCACAAACGAATTACTACTTTTAGGTTACTCTTAGTTTATCATCTAAGTTATGGTCATTTAATTTAAGCATAACAGATATTATTTTATATTTGTTGGTATTACAATTGTTATTTTACCGAATTAGCAGCAATGCATATTTTTGTAGCTTAAGTTTACAAGTTCCTAGATATTAGCCATGTCAAGCTCAGAGGTGTCCGCAGGAGAGCTTGGTCTACTAGTCTACACAAATATATTTATCCATTGTTGAAGAATGCTATGTTACCAGGATACTAGTTCCATATCTCTAAACATTTTATATGTTTTATACATACAATAGTTAAATATTTTAGTTTAATCTAGGTAGCAAGATGGGAGCTATTATATTTCATAAGGCGCCTGAGTGACGTGTGGCCGCGGACCAAGCTCTCCTGTGCCCCTTACCCAAGTGATCATTGTCCGAATTATGCAGCTTCCAATGTTTATAATTTGCTACATTACCAGGCCCTCTGACGGCCGCCAAGATAACTAACGTGCCAAGCAACCATGTTATTAATAGTTTCAAACATTTATTTTTCAGAATACTCTGTTCATTTGTTTATTTTTGTCTATTATACATGCCAACACGGTAGCAAGATTTTGCAAGTCGGGTCGGCTTCCTGTTGCCAGTAAACAAGAAGGTCCGGAACCTTCATATAGACACTATGTTAAGCGTTGGAATATAGCAGAATGTAGCATATATTGTTTAAAAATGTACTTTATAATTATCCTAAGTGTAGGGGAGTGAGTGAGTGAGTGAGCGAGCCAGGGAGCCCTCCCACCACCTGCTCAGCACACCTGCACAGCCAGTAGCGACACCCACCTCTCTTCCCCCACCCACATCTTTCCAACATTTGCTACTCGAACCTTGCCACCCCTCACCTGATTTACATTACGCTCAAATCAGTGTCAAATTACAAGGATTAAGGCCAACGCATGATTCTGAAGTGCTCCGCAACACTCATGCTCTAAGAGACTTAAAATTCCTAAGTTAACAAGTGATGTTCATTACGACAAAGCACAAAACATAATTGTGTCGGCAATGTTGCAGTCTTAAAGATGTGCGTGAGAACTGTGCAGTGTGTTGAACAGACTTTGTGGTACTGTGCAGTGATGTGTGGACCTAGATTGGTACTGTGCAAGTAGGATGGTACTGCGCAGCTATCACAGCTATGCGCAGTTAGGATGTTATGTGCATTGCTAGTTATTCTGTGGACTCGTTGTCCGCAGTGCCAAGGTTTTGAAATGGAGATTAATTATCCGAATTACCTTAGTACATGATTTTGTAAAGTTACAGGCATGTCCTGAGGACATGCAATCATCTTAAACTATCGTCAGTGATGTAACTGCCATCATTAGCAGGTTGAGGCTGACCAGGTGTTCTTCAGTAAATCGTAATCACGTAGATGAGTTAGAAAGCATTACCTGATGCTGGGGGTTGTGCTAGAGGCCAGTGTTCAGAGGAGAGATATGCGTAACACTGACGATAACGGCCCGAGCAGCATAAACTAACAGACAATGACCAGTGGCTCCTCCCGGGGGCAACGCGACTGCGATCTGGTCTTAAAGTGGCGTTTTAATGCAATCGAGTCAATACGTTTACTGCTGGAGAAGCGCCCCTCTGAGCAAGAGGTATGGCTACTCCGTGATGCAGTGTGTGTGTGTGTGTGTGCGACCCGTCCTCTTAAAAATAACGTCACTTTTGGCTCATATGCGCACTATGGCCAAATTTGGACGTAATTTGAAATGAAATCGACTCACAAAAGTGATGTATGTTCCGTTTTCTGTTTGAGTCGTCCGACCCTCCTCGGACAGCTTAGAAGAGGAACTTTCAATTAACGTTTTTCATAACGTTTTGAAACTTTATGAGAATTTCCTGCCTACCTAACCTATCAGAGGACCCTTAACTTACTGTTGTTGAAAAAAAAATCCCAAATTTATTTTCAATTTATTTTCATTTTCAAATTACGTCCATATTCGGCCATAATGGCAAACGGCCAAAAGCGACGTTCTTTTTAAGAGGACAGGTTGGTAGGTCTGTCACCACCAGGCGAGATGGGTTGTGCTGCCACAAAGGAAACTAAGCTGCCGCGTCTCAAGTCACTCCTAGCACACTTGAAGTGTCCATGAAGAAGTGTGTTTTGGTGAAGGATACTTTGAAGTCAACAGTGACTACATTCCTATATTATTTAATTGATGAATATATTGAAAAAAAATAAAGATTTATATTTTTCACACATGAATAATGTAAGCACTCATCACACACAAATCATTGAGTAGTCATAACATTTGTACAGAGTTGTCTGAAGCTGTATATATATACACGACACGTGTATATTCTGTGTAACCTATGTTCTGCTAGTCAAAATCTCAGTCTTGGAACACCGTTTGAGTAAAATTCCTCAGACATCTGTAAGTTTAATCAGTAGACTCCCTTTGCATTCTAATCATTACCAACCGGTGACTACACTTGATGTATAAGCTGTTATTCATTATATGTAGAATATAAATATATTCTCAACGACAGAAAAATTGTTGTAATACTATAAATTAAGTTGGAAGGCCAAGTTCACATTATTTTATCTTTGAAACCATATTTAGTCTCCTTTTAATTTAAGAGTTTATGCAAGAGAAGTAAAGAGGTAAGCCCTCCAATATAATATAAATATATAAATATATAAATATATATATATATATATATATATATATATATATATATATATATATATATATATATATATATATATATATATTCTGAGGCGGTGTTCCGGCTTAGTTAACAGCTGTGAGCGTCTCCTGGAGGCAAGATTCCCGCCAATTTCCCATCTTCCCTGGCGCCAAGCCTTCGCACGCGGCTCACCCTCTAACACTGACCCTGTGGCCGGCTCACACAGCCAAGTTACTATGACCCTCTGTCCTGTGTAACAGTGAACACCAGCATTATCCTCACTTTAATAAGACTTAATTGAAATCCTCAGATTAGGCAAATTTGCAATTAATTTTGTCAATAAAGATGTTAACAATAATAATAAGCCAAGTATCTGATGGCTGCTTCACTGCCTCACCCCGGAGAACAACCCTCCCCAAGTGATGTTCTTGAGACTATCTACGTGGCTCCTTCAGTGTTGGTAATTTGTAAAGATGTATTCCCTCAAATCAATTCAAGTCTTGAACATGTTCCTTATATAATACACTGAATACCCAAAAGTCTATTTTAAATCAAACTGAAAATTATGGTCGTGAATGAAATTATGATTATCATCTTACAATTGAAACCCATATGCTCGTCAATTTATAACAACAATTAAAATATATATTATATATATAATATATAATATATTATATATATATATTATATATATAATTATATATATAATATTATATATATATTATATATATACTGTATATATATAATATATATAAATATATATGTATATATAATATATAATATGTATTTTAAATCTGTGTAACCTATGTAATTATATATATATATATATATATATATATATATATATATATATATATATATATATATATATATATATATATATATATATATATATATATATATATATATATATATATATAATCTGCCTAAAGCAAAAATATCTGCATGATAAATTACATAAAATATGACTTACTGACTCAGTCAAACGCGTAGTCTGTCGAGGACTACTCACAAGTCCGACTCTGAATTACTGTATAGCCACGACAGCATCTGCCCATCATAGATAAGGCAGACATGAAGATATTCTTCTTCGGCTTCCAAGGCCTCTAAATTACTGCTCAGTCGACAAATGATTGGCTTATTGTCACTAAAGTGACGAAAAACTTAAGTTACCTTGATGTGCTCCAATGAGTTACACCAAATTATTACTTTGATCAAATTCCATTTCAGAATCTTGAAGGATTTTGTGTGTAGATGAGACTAGATCAGTACAGATCTCGTGCTGGTGTCCCGGTCAACCAGATAACTGTCTCGTGTAGGCTACCACCTGGAGCCTGATGACTGGCCTCCGGTGACCTCGAGTAGGCTCCCACCATGTAAATGACGAATGGTCTCTAGTGACCTTGTGTGGACCACCACTGAGGATAAAATGGCTGGCCTCCAGTGACTCCACGTGCGCTACCACCAGGTATATGATGACTGGCCTCCGGTAATCTAGTGCGAGCTCCCACCGGTGATCCAAAGTGACGACTCTTACCGACCGCGTGTGTTATCACAGACGGTTTAGAGTAACTAAATCCTAACCCTCGTGTGCACTGCCACCGGGGATTTAGTGACTGACCTCCTTGTTGACATGTCAATGACTTGCTGTGTTCGTTAGTGATAGGCAAGGGTAACCCTCAACAGTGGACACCGCTTGCAGCACTCCTTCACGCTTGGTATAAATTATGTTGGCGTGGGTGACACCCCCCTCAAATAAATATTCATTTCTGATAGTGTAGCAAAGAGGTGCTCATGACTCCCATACTGGTATAGCAACTCATAACACATTTTATATAATACAATAGAGAACTGGAAGCGGTGTCTCCTATGCCATAGTCCAATCATCTACCTCGTCCACAACCCGGTACCTCATAGCCCAGATATAATTCCAGTAGCCGAGTAGTGCGGTTACAACTAGTAGTTCATAACTCAATACTAAGATTCCTAATGTCTCCTGATGGCCCAGTCTAGCCCCTAGTTTGCCGCAGTCCTGTTCCCTCCGTAGTAAAAATTCACTTATCCCTCGCCCGCCTCCCAGTTGCCTCCACTAGTGAACAGTAGTTAGGATCCAGTTGCGCCCCAAGTAGCCAGTCAGTCGCCAGCAAACGGCCCGTACTCCTAGCTGGACCTCAGCCAACCTTTGCCTTCCTAAATGTATCATAATAAAATAAGTAGCAGCCAAGCTTCATTCATAGTGCCATATATCATTCCTACTTCAGTTTAGCCTTCAGTGCCGTCTCAGATTTCACAGAAGGGGTTTATTTTTTCTCCGCAGTCATGTTTCGGCAATCTTCTCTTGTCTTCAGTAGATATAGAGTTGATTGGCCTCCATGTAGCATATTTCACATTGTCCATAATCAATAGTCCTAATAGATTATTCAAACTACATTATATCCTGCCTCAATAGTACACAGTTACAGTGTCCATAAACCATCCATATGCCAACTTTTATAGCCAACATGAATCCAATGCCCACTGCCTTTCCTTTGTGTATTTTCCAGGTCACGATTTCTGAAATATAGATATATCACATTGTGTATTGTAATTACTCGGTTTACTTTCGGTAAAACAGCCAATCAAAGCTTGTGGAGTGGAAGAAAGAAACGCTTGATAATATTTCAGATTTCTGACTTCGGTTACTTGTTGATTAATTGTTACGAGTTGAAGCACTCGATTTTGAAAGATTGAAAGTCATGTTATTGCAACTTACCGATAACCGATGATTGCAAATCAACCGGGACACCAGCTTATACAAGTCAGTTGATAATGGGGTTATTCGCTGCTGATGAATCATTTGAGAGTGAAAGTTGAACATTGTTGGAAAGCTATGGGTTTATACACAAAGTTCCGTGCAAGCCAGATTGTTGATAAACGCAACTCCTCTTCTTTGGCCTTGTATCTTATCATTGTGACACGAATTATCACAAAGTTTTCACACCGTACTTGATTAAACTGTGATTATGAATAAAATTTCTATGCCAATAAACTTGACCTCAGATGACC